GCAACATGACATTGTGTGAATGGCATATAATCTTGACTCCTTTTGCAATATTGTGTGGTCTAATGCCAACTTTTTGTTTAAAAAGGGTGTGAAAGGATTTGATCTATGAGAAAATGATGCTAAACATTAACTGTGACATCATTTGAGCACTTGCCTCATGAATAACCCCGGATACTCTCACAGATGCAAAGTAGAATAGAATAGAAACTTTTTAAAATCAATTTCAGCAAGAATTCTGCCATAAAATTGCACGTGTCCTTTCTGTCTTTAATTTTCTAACTGAAGTAAAAGTTTTGTTCTTTGATGAACAAAGAATTTTTAGCCGATTACTTAATAAATGATACTTAATTACTATAAACTGTATGCTCTGGACAAAGGCCAACTATGATAACCATACTTTACCTTAGTAAGCTTCTAATTAATTTTGTGATCTCTTTAATGTGGTTATCAATTTCCCATCTCCACTTGTGGCACCTGTGATTCACTCCTACTCAGCTGATTTTGTGAGTTTTCCTCTGGGCACAGAAAGCCTTTTAATGAATAGGTTGTGTTACAGCGACACATCATAACAGAAATCATGAATGGAGGTTTTTACAGATGAAAATGAATATGCAGAAGACCTCGTTTAAGTTTCTTTTCTAGTTACTCAGACCTTATGGCTTGGAATGAGTATTTATTTAAATAAAAATGTCAGTGGCCATAAGCGGTTCCAAGGTTTGCATGTGAAGCACTGCATGAAAAATGGAACAGAATTAAGTGACTTAATTGACTACTTACTGTCATGTTCTCATGTTCAGAAGCTGTTTCTTGTGGAATATTCAAAACCAATTATTATTATTCAGCGCCACTGCTAATTGCTTGTAAAAGGCTTATATCTTAAGGCAGGGTCTCAATGTGAAAAGCTCTGCCTTTCCATCCAGTCATTATTACACAGTTTTTCTCTAAGTCCTTCTTTGTGTATAGCTAAAGGGAGGGTAGAAGGACTGCAAGGTAGCTGTGTGCAGAGTAAGGCCCAGGGAAGAACAGAGAAGCCCAAAAGGTAGCAGGCAGCTGACACAGGAGCAGCAGAGCTGAGCTTGGCTACACATTTGTGCTGCTCTGGCAATACCGAGTATCTCTGTAAACTTTGATTATTCAGTGCACTCTGGCTACTTTAAGATGCTCTGGAGCAAATCAAACCAAATGTAACTTTTTTTCGTAACTATCAAGTTAAAGCATGAGATTGCAGAGACCAAAGTAATTTCCATGCTCAACCAATGTATTTTCTTTATCTTTAATGTGCTAGATTTTCATTAACCTTAATTCCGAGTTTCCTAGGTTTATCATGTTTAGTTGAGGAGTAATAACAACATTACTCTAAAGTCATCTGGAAAAAATTGTCTGGATTTTACTCTACATTATGAAATGCATTTTCAAGTAGTTTTGTCAGGGAATATAATTCCCAGCATTGGTTGAAACAGTTTTGGGCGGAAAATTAGATCTTTATTAAATGCACATTTTTAAACAAAAAGTCTGCTTTCTGGGGAAAACCTTGTTTTCTTTTAAATCAACTAATTAAATACTCAGAACTAGTCCTTTAGCCAAAAGCTGAAAAGCCTCACTTTGGAAATACTCCCCATCTCTTCCCATGGGAGTTGTAGCTCAAATGTCTCGTTGTCCTCTATTAGTTGCTCTCTCTAAGGAGACTGCAACTCCAAGGGAGCACTGCAGGCAGCCGACAAGACAGGAGACTGACAGACATAGTCACAAGCCAAACCTGCACCCTCCGTTACAGCTCCAAGGACCCAGCAGGATGACATTTTCTAGATTCCTGCTTTTGGGACTCCTAGGGAATAGCTGGCAGTATGACTTCCTCTTGTGTTCCAAGACTCAACACCTTTTTCTGCAACACAGAATTTCCAAGACCAGTGGAAAAAAAAATTACTATCAGCTTGTCTTCCTCCTTGCTCCTTTGAAACCAGCATTATTCATATATCTGAACATGGAAACTATACAAGGTTTTGGTGCTGTGGGTGTTTGGCATCTGGTCATACTGGTCCCACTATCTTCCAGAACTGTCGTCCGACAGTTAACTTAAATCATGCCATACCCAGTGTCTGTAAATTTGTTTGCATATACCAATTAGAATTTATATAACCCTTAACAATACTGTAAAAGAAAGTTCACCCACAAAATATCCATCAGCATAGCTTAATAAACAGCCTTATCTGCATTTACATTAGGCTTCCACTCTTTCCTATTCAACATATGGTTTCACTTAGAAAGAGCAGACTTACAGTAAACTGTACCATCAGTAGGCTGATAAATGCTATAATTTGTAACAGTACGTCTGCTGGAGGAAGATTTCCCATGCCTAGTGAATGCTTAATGTTTTTCTAAAATACTAACTTTCTTCATATATCTCAACACTGAGTACTGTCCATAGGAAAAGAAATTATGGTTCTCGCCCACCTCTCTAAGAATGTTAGCTTTTCATTCATTTTACAAGTTACATGCTGGTGTTTGGATACTTAACAGAGACGCTAACCTCAAGATCCTTTGTACTTTGGAGGCAGATGGGATCTTAATTCTACTTCAGTGCCGCTGTGTTTGCTACTCTTGTAATGTGGCAGTTAGAAGTTCTGAACAGGGTAGTTTACATTTCACAATGCAAGTGTGGTGGGATCACCAGGTCCCATGCTGGGTGCTGGAAGGTTTCTGAAAACCTACTGGTCCAGGTGAAGACTCGGGCCTGCCTGTATGAAACATTTTTCTTGGAGGTCAGCTGAGGTGCAGAGATGACAGAGGTCCTTGAGGTTTTTGAGGTTCCTTGTGACATTTTTTTTTTTCATTTTGTGAAGCAGTAAAACTGGATGTCACCAGAACACGTACATGAGTAACAGGTGAGGAAGCCAGTTACCACCTGAACCATCAGTGTCTTTTGCCCCAGGCAGTGAAACAGATCACTGCAGTGAGACTATTTCTCTGTATGTGGCAATTGTGGATGCACCTACGCATCCCCAAATGGAGGCAACCACACACCACCTTAAAATAACAAGACTAGTGCAGGTCAATGCCCAGTGCTTTGTTCTCGTAGACTCCAGTCTGCAAAGAAATGCTCCCAGGAGAGTCTGCTCAGGTAAGACATATATAGTGGTATAAAGAGTAATCACATTGCAGGGCTTGGAGTCTGCCTGGTGAAGTGCTGCCGTGACCTGTAAACGTGGGAAAGGATTAAGGTCATCTCAACATGCTGACGCAGGAGGTTTATGACTAAAAGTTAATCATCCTGTTTGAAATGCAAACTTGCACCCGTCAGGAAAGTGTGCAAAGGGGCCAACAGTAGTGCCTGGAGACAGAATTTCCAGGTTCTGCTCTCACAGACAGGGCAGCTGGCAAAGACAGACTCTGTAGAAGGAACAGATGTAAGGCAGGAGAAAATGGGACTAGAAAATCCGGCCCCCCCTTCCCTGAGTGGTACAGAATGCTAAGTCTTGCAAAAATCACCAGCCTACCCTTGGTGTTGGATGCAAAGACCTGTGCCTCAGGACAGCAAGTCCTGGATCATTTGGCAAAGGGAAGAGCTGAACCCTTACCAAGCTTTTCATCAACCTCACCGCATTATTAAAAATAGATACATTTTGCAACACCCTCAGGCAGATGAGGTCACAATGCAAATGCTGATCCTGAAGGTATATGCCAAAGAAACGCTGCATTTGGGGCTGTTCCAGCCTCTTGGGAAACAATTCCCTCTGTAATTGCCATTGTTGCTGGTTTTGGCCACGGGTCCATAAGAACACTGAAAGGATTTTTTTTCCTTTTTGTCCTCAAATCGAAGCTTTAACAACTAATAGTGGAGACATTCGGATATCCAGATGGATGGAGTCAACTGCTTCTCACTCAGCTCCCGACAAGTGATCACTGTATCCCAGTCTGGTGTCATGCTTTAGGCTGATGAAGTGCTGGAATGGCTAGGGGAGTCAAGGCACCTGGAGACGCCTCACTTCCCAAGTGATACTGGCATGTTCTATTTGTGACCGACTGATATGAAAGGTGCTTTAGTAACACACTTTACTTTCAATCAGCCTAGATAGAGCTGCAGCTATTTCTCAGGAGAAAATAGTTCATTTCTTATCTGTGTGAGCCCTTATATTGCTTCCTGTTTAGTCAGTGTGTTATCCATGGCCAAGATTCAGAATTTCACCTGCAGCTGCTGACAACAGTTCTACAATTCACAACAAAGCACACATTTTACAACCAACACAGTTAAATATAGCTCTGCATCTCATAAGCTCAGCATCTCAGATATGTGATGGGAAACAGACAGATGTTGCTGCTGATGAGGCAGCAACATATACAAGCTGTATATACTTAAGTTGGAAGATATTTCTATGAGAAAACAGTGAGAAGGTCTAGCATACCAATGGACCCAAATGTACCTACTGGGTATTATGTTTATATGAGTCTGCAGGAAAAAACTGATCAGTATGCACACCTGATCCTGGAGCCCCTGCTCAAAGTGCTAACTTGAAGCAACATTTCAACTGGTGCTACTGAAAGATATGATCCAGGAAACAACCTTATCATCAACAACATAAATCAAATAAAATCAAGCTTTGTCAATTCTGCCTTTTGAAGAGCAACTTGAGTGGCTAATCAAAAGAAGCAGCCCATAAAAGGATGGGGGTTGTCCTGGGATACAAAATCCTGAAAGACATTTCTTACAATGACTGACAGTGGAGATCCGCAACGAATACTGACTTTGAAACCTACAGGGAAAAGTGTAAACAACCCACTGAGATGCAGAGGTCAAATTTACCCTCCTGGTGTTACTGGGTTTGGCTGGCTATGGACTTAGGAAGCTGACACATTTGGTTCATAATTCCATGACTGTCTTCACAATCAAGAATAGTATTTATTTTTATTCCCCCCCCCCAGTGGATTTTAGTAGGGGAAAGTTCATAGATTCTGTGACAAATTCTACAGCATCAAAATTGGGATATAGCTGAATAAACGAGAAGTTTGGTACAGGCCAATTACTTTATTAAGTGCTTCTCTCTTTCGCTTTGCAGTACACAATGAAAGTCTCAAAGGACTAGCAATTTAATAGGACCATGTAAAAAGATCACATGAATGAGTAAGTCTTTGTAAACTGAGTAAATCTGAATAATTACGGGGTTTTTTCTTACTCTAGGATCTTCTGTTTGTTCCATTTGGCTGTTTATGACTCCTTTGGCCACTGACAGATGGATTTTGGTTCCTCATTCCATGTGCACGCAAAATTCTCTCTTGACGTTTAGGCAGAGGATCAGATGTCCAAGAAGTAGGATCAGTCTTGTCATAGTAATTTCTTGCAGCAATAGTGTCTTCAGTTGATCAACAGTTAAGCTTTCTCACAGTTTTTCTTTCCTGTTTAGTTGCAAACCTGTATAACCTGTAACCAGTGCAAAGTTGCTGCTTGTAGAAGTGAGGCACTTAGAATCTTATGCAGGTAGTCATCCTATCAGGCCAGCTTAATCAAATTTTTAGCAAGTTAAGTAGCCCCAATTGAGACTAATGCCCACATTCATATGCTAGAAATACATTCTACATGTTTTATAAAAGCCAGGCTATATGCTTGTTGTCTTTCAGGACTAATATCATAGTTCTGTAAGACTGTACCATGAAAAATGGAATACAAACATTCTGGCCATTGAAATGCAGCACAGTTTGTAAGCCAGAAGCTTTCTCCAAACAAGGTATCAGGCACAGATCCATTACAGAATTCCTAAACGTTCCCACCATGACCAAATAAGAAGTGAATAATTGTATTTACATTCCTTAAATCTGTAATTTTCATGAGTTTCTATCAAAAACATTTGCTTTAAATTTGGATCATTGTCCCTGAAACTTTTGCAAATACATACGGCTGGTTTTGTGCTTTTGCTTTTTTTGTAGTCTTGGATTTCAACATCAGCTGTTCCCATGATTATGTTCAATGCTGTTCTCTAAGCACAGTCTGGTATCACCTGAAGTGACTTTTGACACAATGTCTTTAGTTAAGGGATGTAAGCTTGGATTGTTTTGTTTTTGCCTTTGTCAATACTCAAGTAAATGTGCTGAGACTGTATTTTATTAAGCACACTACATCATAGACAATCATATCTGTCTTTTATTTTGGATTATCCAACTCTTTATTTCTGTTGTGTACAAGCACAGAGCCGGCACCATCTTTTCTCTCTATGTATGTGATGATTACTTCGAAGGGGCCCTGAATCACTTCTGAAGCTTTGAGTATCTAATTCAAAATTAACTTAAAAAAAAAAAAATCACATTTTTTATTTAAACTCCTGATTGGGACATATATATCCTGCCAGTAATTCCATTCAGCATTGCTCTTAAAGACTGAATGTAGCTAATTAAAAACCTGCTTGTCCTTAAGTTGTCTTTTTTGCTGTTATGTGTGGTTAATGACATACTAGCTTTTCAGTTTGGTGGCCAAACTAAACAAATGGAAAATAATTTTGGTTTGGGTACAACTAAAAACATTTTAGTCAACCCAAAACAAAAGGGTTTATTTTAGTTTCTTGTTATACATTGCCTAGAAAACCAAATTTGTAATGAGAATGTAATTTTAAAACTAATTTTGTCCTGAGTTTGCACCAACATGTATTTACCTTTCTGTATTATTTTCAGGCCTTGAGAAAACTTTTTAAGTGGCATCAGAATTTGTTGATAATGGTGATGTTCTGAAAGCCCGTTTTTCAGAAAATTCTAGTATTTTCTAAAAATAGGGCTCCCTATTCGGCCGTGAATATGGGTCAACAAGTTTTCTGTTTAAGGAACGCCGGATTGTAAAAGGGGAAAAGCCATTTATTTTTTCTCCTCGCACCAACAGGAACTCCCTGGAGTTCTATGTATTGTCTGCTGTTGAAAGCATTCTTTTCAAAACCAGTTTTTATTCTTTTGCCCGTCTGTCCCGCACACCCACGTCCCGGCCGCTCCCTCCGCTCCCAACCGGCCCCCCCCAGGCCCCACGGCCGCGTCCCACACCCCGGGCCCCGGCGGCGGCTCCCGCAGCCACCCCTCCGGCACACCGGCCGGCGAGCCGCGCTGCACCTGGGTTCTGTCGCAGCCTTAAGAGTAATTTAGCTGTCTGGTAAGGGCACACTTGCTCGGTTTAGGGTTGTTATTTCTCCAGCGCTGCTGCCGGCCCCCGGCCCCGCCGATCCCCCCTAGGCCGCCCGCCCACCGCAGGCAGACAAGATGGCGCCTGTCCCACGCCGGCGGCCCGCGGGCTGCCGTCTTCCCCCCTCTGTCCCCCGCAAGAAAATCATAGTCTTGATCTTTTCTGCCACACAGTGGCTACTGTGGAGAACCGCCTGTAATCCTCACGGCAGAACTCTGGTAAATCGGGAGATTTGAGGGGAGATTTAATCCTCTCCCCGCCTCCCCCGTTCTGGTCAGTTCGAAGTGCAACTAACCGCCCGCCCCCTCAGCCCCGGCTCCTTCCCTGTGCTCGCACACCAACGCAACCCCGAGCAGTCCTCCAGGCTCTCCCCAAGCTCCTCATCTGTTCCATCCATTTTGGGGGGGGGGGGGGGGGGGGGAAAGAAAAACAAACAGTAATGGGTTTGATTTATTCTAACATCGCTGTTATCTCATAAACGGATCCTTTGAAAAGGGGCTAAGAGCCATACCGGAATCCGCCGTGCTGGGCACGGCCAGTATGGCTGTGTAGGCGTCCCCATGCTGCTGCTGTTCGGAGGACCAGGTATCGCCACCAAAGCGGGCAGTGCGGCAGGACTGCTTAACCCACCTCCACGCTCGCAGCGGTTATCTGTGTGTCTCCCTAAAATCTGAGCTGATGTCTCGCACTGGTGCTGAGCAGCGCTGGGCCGTGTACACCTACCGAACTGCTCGTTAGCTCCAGCCTCTTAATGGGGGAACTATGCTGAATTGTACAGGCACTGCTGTGGGTGCTGCTGAAGTTGAAACTGGAGGCAACCACTATTAGGGATTTGTAGACCGATGAAAGCAATTCCAGTAGGCGAGGAAGTACCCTTATATCGTCTCATAGTTGATTTGAAGGGGAATAGGTAGTCTCAAGTTAGTTGGGCAATTTCAGCATGTTTCTACCTTCAGTCAGGTGAGGGAACCTGCTGCTTTCTTCATTGCAGGGGGTATGAATAAGCTGCTAGCAGGGAGCCTCTTTTGACGCATAATTCACAGCACTGGATTTATGGTGTCCACAGAGTCTTTGGTAAGGAGCGTACTGAAGTAAGGAGCCATCCGATGCATTTGTCTGATGAGCTGCAAACACACAGATTTCACCACTACTCTGGCCCAACTCAGAACAGACAGAGGTTGGGAAGTGTTTCTCTATACCAGCCCAGCTTATCTTCCTAAAAGAGATACACAGAGAGACTACATGAGGCTCTCTCAGGTTCACCCCATTGGCCAATAAGGTTGTGAAACCAGTGCCTTGCCTTCCACCCCATTGCTGATACTACTTGGCAGAACGAAGTCGTGATCTTCCTTGAAAAGGAACCCTTTCTATTTAAGGTTACAAAATGTACAGTCAGGATGGTATTACTTTTCATTTATACTGTACAATAAAAGTTCAGTTTAAAAATATGGCTTGGTTATGGCATCTCATTTGCTGAAAAAAATTAGTTTCCACGTTACTTGAAAAGGAAAAATATTGGCCCTGTGCTTCCAAAATTCACATACACATGTGCAAAACAGCTGGTTTCTGGGTTGGCTGATTGACATCTCCATCCTTCTAGGATCCAGATTAACGAGACACTTTGAATCATTTTTATTCTTGTAATAAACATGTAGAACCTATGAGACACTCTCTTCAAGTATTACTCCCTGAGCACTCTCATTCTTATTCTATATTATTGAGGGGTCTGATTCATTGTCCGTTGAATCCAGTGTCAGATTCTCCCTTGACTGACCCAGTGATCACAGATGAGGACCAAGCAAGGAGCAGAATTCTGTTCTGCCAAGTTTCAGCCAAAGACACACCAAAAAAAGGCAATACCTCTCCCAGAGAACTTGCAATCTAAGATAAAAGATAATAGTAGTCTGCCATTTCCTGCTGTTCCTAATGAACAGTTTGAGGGTTCATGAATCTCAAAGACTTCACTGCAAAAAAGTTCTTCAGTTTTAGCATAACTGTGCCAATACAGTTCGTCTGGGACATCCTGAAATTTTTCTCTCCCCCATCTAACAATTGACATTCCAGCGTTAGTTGAGAGACACGTATTAGCACTAGAATGAACTTTGGAAAAAATTTATTTTTAAATGGATGCACTCAGCCAAGCACTTTCTGTGTTGCCTCTGCTAATTCCGGAGTTAAGTGTATTTGAGTAGAAATATATCTCCTTAACCTTTGTTTTCTCATTTGGCCGAGTCTACAGTGATACTGTGTTCTATGTTTGCAAAATGAGATTTGCTGCTACAGTTTTACTGCAGGGTCAAGTATGATGAAAAAGTATGTTGAGAAAAAGCCAAAGCCTTCTTAAAACACAGATGTCTTAAATATTGCAGATGTCATCCATGTTTAGCAAATAGGGTAGGGGGCTGGATAGCTGATGAGATTGATGATGAGTGATCAACCTTTCACCGTTAGACCACCAGTCCTAAACAAGCATAGAACAGTGAGAATTACCAATTACATATTTGTATCTGATTATATGAAGTATGTTTGTTGGCCATTATCCATTTCGTAGTGAACAAATCTGCACTTCCTAAAAACCTACAGCAACGTAAAAACTCATTGCTTTATCACAAATACAAAACAGTATAAAGCCTTTTTTCTTTAAGCAGCAGATCATTTAGATTAGGCTTGGGAGAGAAGCATATATTGTTTTTAGGCTGCACCTTTTCTACTGCTGAAGAGTTCAGGCCTTGAGAACGTAAAGAGAGCACCCAGTAGTAGCAAGAGATTTAGAAAATAAGAAGTCAGCCAAAGCTAGTTTATGAAAACTTATGGAGATTAGACTCGGGGACACCACTGACCTTTATATATTCTGTGATGGGAAGGGAGTGTGCTATTTACAGTAAGTATTTGGAAAGCTCTCACAGCTTCCTTGAGACTAAAAGAAATGAGTTTGGCAGTATGGACTGCACTATGACCTTCTTTATCCTTCTCAGTGATTACTGGGGTTTTTTTGTGATTGACTTTCTGGTGAGAACTGAATTTAGCAGAATATAATTATACCTAGTGATTTATCTAATTTGAATTAAAATTCTCTTTAATATAAAAAAGCTTCCTTTATTTCTGATTTTTCTTCCCCTTCAAATACTCTCTTCTTTTGTTCTAAAAGGAAATTTTCCTTATTAAGTATAACTTTCCACTGCTTGTTTTGTCATGTTTCACTGGCTTATCATTGTTTTTGCAACACAATGTTTGGCAACCGTTGCTCTGCTATACTGATAATATACTGGTATCATAATGACAACATGGTCTTATTTTTAAGAGATTGACCCAACAGCTTCTGTAATACATAAAAATCTTTGTACAGATTACAGTGTGCTTTGGATCAGTGTTGGATATCAGAAATTGAAATTCTGAGATCAAAAGTCTTTTCCTGGCTATGTCAGAGACATTTTTAGGTGAGGTAGGGACAATAGTTTTCACCACTGTATCTCATTTTCACCACCTGCTGTGTGACTGTGCCTGTCTGCATCTCAGGCACGTTAGAACTCCACTTGCTGGCATTTTAAAAATACTTTACCATCTTTGCAAGTTACTTGCAATTACTATTAATTCAATGAACTGAGCATTGTAATATAGAGATGTTAAGTTGTCCTAACGTGCATACTGTGACAAGATAGACTGTAAAAGACTTACTGCTGTTGCCACTTTCACAGTCCTATTAATTTAAGGGTCTGTTATGATGTATTATAAAGATCTATATTTGTATGTATGCATACATATACATCAATATGCACAGGGCATATATAGGCTATGTAAGGCAGTAGTGTTGCCACTGTTTTTATTCCTTCAGTCAGTTTCTTCTTCCACTTGTTGAACTCCCTCACTTTGCAGTTTGCTCCAGTGGACATTTGCCATGGATGACCAATTGTTTGCTGGTTTTATTACCCTGTACTCGAAGCTCTCTCCTTTGCAGCTTGAGAGGGTAGAGGAGAAATTTAGGTATGCTGATACCATCACCTGTGAATAAGGCTTTATTATGGTTTTGTGTTTGGCCAGCAGGTAGAACTGCCTACAGTCATGTTGGCAGTATATTGCTGCACAGCTGTTTATGGCACAGTAATTTGTGTCCACGCTTGGCTCTCTCCACGTTCTGTAAAAGAGGGGAGAAAACACTAAGCGTTCAGAGCTGACTGATGCTGCCTGTGATCTTTACTCACTGTCTACAGAAGGATAAGTGTGCATACTTATGAAAGAAATAGCATCTTTAAAAAAATAGGAGCACTAGCTAATCTCTTTAGATTTTGTTCTTTGCTACGTCTGGTCTGGAGTATAAGAAATCTGTCATAAACCTGTCAGAGGAAATAATGTAGCTCATACCAATTAACAGTATGATCAGATGATTGGAAGCAGATGTGTGAGGGCTGCTTCAAGTGTTGCTAACCCTTCCATTCAGCTGGCTGCCAGCTCACATCTAATTGTTTTCAGGGTGAAGTGGGACGTGTTAATCCCCCTGGAGGAGAGGTTGGCGGCAGGCAGCTCTGGCTGTCAACCTTTTTAAACTGCTGAAGGGAAAACACAGACTGCTACAGCTGGTCTTCACTGGGTCAAGTGAAATGCAGGTGAACTTCAGCTCCGTAGTGGCTGAAGCCGTTGAGGCAAGACTGCTGTCCAAGGGGTGAAAGGAGACGGAGCTGACAGCCCCTCAGGCTTGCTCTCAGGAGGCTCTGCTTCCCTGAAAGGGCAGAGCTGGCTGCAGGGGATGCTTGGAACCACCACTGGTCACCGCAGGCAGGCTGGTGTGCCCCGGCCAGGGAGCTGTGGTGGCTTGTTGCCAGCCCAGCAGAGCACGGATGAGGCAGCAGAGGGATCTGACCAGGTATGGTGGGGGGAAAGAAATGGTCCCTCCCGCTGCCTGTGTTGCAGCTGTGCTAGAAAGAAGAGGTGGAACTTCAAATGCAGGGAATAAGAGGAATAAAGCTGAAGTGAGGGGTGAGAAATGTAAACAGAGAGGAAGCACAGGTGTGTAAAGGAGGACTTGCTAAAGGAGAGAGGGCAATG